TACGTTTAATTACTCTCCATTAACTCGAGGTTAATCTCGCACGCTTAGCTTTGAAATCTGCAAATGGGAAAAGGAAATCTAAGATAGAAAAGGTTATTTATGTTGCCTAATTGAAAATAAACCAATTCAAGGCCAGTGGTTTAAACCGATTGTTTATGAAACGTCTACAACATTACGATACACAGCTGGAAAGTGCGACGCCCGTTTGGAAATCAGTCAAGGCCACTGCTGATTTGGCAAGAAATAATGGAGTTCTTCATCCATTCGGTGTTTGTTAAAATAGTTATTACTTTGATCAATTTTGAAAAAAAAATTATTTAAAGATAAATAATCGTAGAAAGTATGTGTTTGTTTAATTCCGTACAGAGTCAATTTTGACAATCTTCATTTAATTTGGTTTAAAAAAATCGTATCAGCTAAAATAATAACGTACAATAAGTCAGGTTCATGTGGTGAAATAAAGATTTAATTACCTTCATCAGTGCCTTTAATGGATCAAGGTATTTTTGTACGCAACAGCAAACCCCTCAGGGTGCCGGTGTTTAAAAAAAAAGCCCATTTGTAAGTATGTAGAGTTCGAATGCAGGGCCGCTGGATTCGAACCCGGGACCTTTACCTTACAGTGATGAGGGCCATATTAACGATAGGGCCGTCATCGATGCCCATCAAGATATTAATTTGTCACATTGGATCGTCATTAATTATTTATTAATTTAAAACAGTTCATTCGTTCAAAATGAGATCATTCAATTCCTACGGGATCACCGGAATATCAGTTTGATTGGTTGTCTTAATTGATAATTGAGGACTTTTTTTTAATGGAAGTTAACAATATAATATTTTACCAGTATGATTATATGTAGTTTGTGGTACATAGTCTCGACTACTCGACTAGCAGATAAAAATTTTACGATATGCTTGCCTGATTTTTTTTTGCCGCTGGATTCGAACCCGGAACCTTTACCTTACAGTCATGAGCGCCGTATCAATGCGTAAACCGTTGGGGCCACCGACGCTCCCTCTTAGGAGATTGTTATTTTTCTAAGAACTTGACTCAATTTTTCATAATTTCTGGTTTAACCGTGCAGATACAAAAATTATGAATTTACGTTATTTTAATTACACTGGTTTTACTTAAATTTTTTTTTTCTCTTTTCAGTTTAAATGTCGGTAGATGTATATACTTTTGCAGCTACATTTGACTTTTCAAAATCAATGTTTGGAATTAATTCGTTTGTCTAAAAAGAGTCATTTTATTTTATGACCAGTATGCAAATCACTGTTTTTCCTGGCTTTATACATGAATGGGTTAATTGTATAACTATTTATTTCATTGATGATGATGATGATTAAAAAGATTATTATTCAATTTACGGTATACCTTTTATAAAAGTATCAATTATGTTACTCCATTAAAATACTAACTTCGTAAAATATGCTTGGTGTGAATTGGTAAAAATTTAAACATTACATCCTTTTCGTCCGTTTTCTTGTAGGAAATAAATCGGAAAAGATGTTTTTAACCCTATTACTTGCTCCCTTCCCACCAAAAACCAGGCTCCCGTTTTTACACAGACCTGCCTTCACAAACTGGTTTGTACAGGCCAACCGAAGCGTTACAGGTCGACTGCACAGTCCATTTGGTCTGAGTAAATCTGAGTAAAAGTCCAGATTTTTCATCCACGGCATTATGTAGATGTAGCATAATCCAATATTTATTGTTACCTCTTTTTTTCGGTTTCAGCTTCCCGTTTCCGGTACGAATGTTTGTCTTTAATGGAAGCACGGAAGTGAACAATATCCCTGTTACCCGCTGAACATATCATTTATTAACGAACTTGTTTTTTATTAATAACGTTCAAAAAAAGCCCAATATTCCCCATTGTATTCTTTTTATTTTTCTAACTTTTTTTTTTGCTTAGGCAATAATTTAATTATTCTAATAAAGTTTATAGTACCGTTTCGAAATTAAATTAAGTGTCGTTTTTGATATTTATAAAGTACTTTTATAATTCAATATGAAATTAGTTTTGGACTTTACCGGACTGACAGTTTGTGAGAATCGTCATGGACTACTTATTATTCATAACCATCTCAAAAACGACCTACATCCATCTCGTTACATAAAACCAAAACGTTTCCTCTCATAAAATTAAAAATTGAGGAAATCCTGGAGCTAAGAATCAATTCTTGAAACAGATAAGAATTGGTCTAAGCATGCGAATATAATTAAAATTTCATATGTGAGGAGTAACATAGAAATTACTTTCTTTTTTAACATGAACAGATAAAATAATAAAAAAACGGAATATTACAAAAAAAAGTGGAGCAGTTTAATCTTGAAACAGAAACGTAGGTTTAAAAAAATTATCATACTGAGGACTCATTTTGAAAAGTAGTTTGTAATTTCTGTGCGCCGAACAAAATTCCACACCTATTTTTGAATGTAATAAAAGTACGAATTTTGAATTTTTTTATTTCTAAAAATCAATAGCCTTTATCACATCACTTTTTTAAACATGCAATGTTTATAAAAGTACTTATACGATTGGGAATTGGATTCATTTTATATATACAGGGTGAATTGCTACTCGTGCTACAAACTTCACCAGTAGATTCTTGACCCTAAAATGAACAAAAAAGTTCATATTGACCATGGTCCGATTCTCAACCATTTCAGAGTAATTTCGCTTTTTATCGATTTTGAAAGATATCACGTCCTGGCGTCGGAAAATCGTGATATCTTTTAATCTAAACATTTCTCTTAAAATCTATAAGCACCGTTGAAATCCCCGTTAATTTTTCAATAAGAAGATGAAGGTGGCAAAACGTTTGGGTCTTTCTTCCTTGACCTTCTAGCTGTTTGTAAACTTCTTAAGCATTACATACTAAATGGGCATTAAATTAAATTAAAAAATTTCAATGGAATTATGATTTTGATTCTCTCTAAAAATTAACGGGGATTTCAACGGTGCTTATAGATTTTAAGAGAAATGTTTAGATTAAAAGATATCACGATTTTCCGACGCCAGGACGTGATATCTTTCAAAATCGATAAAAAGCGAAATTACTCTGAAATGGTTGAGAATCGGACCATGGACAATATGAACTTTTTTGTTCATTTTAGGGTGAAGAATCTACTGGAGAAGTTTGTAGCACGAGTAGCAATTCACCCTGTATATATATTTTTTTAAAGAGCATTAGTCAGATAGGAAAAACAGCCAGGAAGGTAAAAGTGGTTTTTAATTCACTAAATAAATAAACTTTTCCATCTTGATGGTATAGTTTGAATAATAATTGTTTAATTTGGGTCAATGAAGCCAAAGGTAAAATAATTTTTTAATGAAAATCTATCAGTAGTGCAACAGCAGTCTGGATGACGATAATTCTTTTTTGATCTATACCATACCGCTGTTTCAAACGTGCCGTGGTGAAGTAATGTTAATAAGACCGGATGTTTGTTTTTTCAATGGCATTATGGAAAATTATAAAGCAATGTGTTATCCAGAAGAGGAAATTTTAAAAATTCGAATTGTTATGATCTTAAAATTTATAAACATTTATTTTAACGTCTTGAGAAACTATTTGTTACAGACGTAATATTATCATAAATATATCTTAATAGAATGAAAATAGTGCATTAATGAAGGGAAAAAACGTGGCATCAAACGTGGAATGTGCCTTGATGAATAGAAAAGTGGGTTTTAATAAACAAATTTTATCAAAACGCATGATATTGTTTGTATCGAAGTGAATTTTTTTCTAATTTCCGTACAAAACTTGAGTTTTTAATAATTGATAATAGGAATGATATCCCTGTTTCACACACGATACGGCCAGAAAGTTCTAATGACTATAGAGAACCATTGTTTTTAAAAGTCATTATGAAAAATGGGTATTCAGAACTAAACCATGAGAAAGAGAGACTAGGGTTGAAGAAGAACTAACATCCGTGAAATTATGCCTTAAATAACTAGACGCCAGAAAGGTCTTATTTTTTCCTTGGGAATTAATACCGTAGTACGTTTGAAAAACTGATTGTATTCTGATTTTTATATACTTCAGTGAAAAAAGTAAATGTAAAATCAAGACACTTGGAATTTAATATTCAAATTTTGGACTGCATAACCATTAATCGATATTTATATCACATCATTAACACGTTATACAAGTTTGAATTTTGCTTGAAATTTCTCAAAATGCATATTATTTTAAAAAAATTATGCAAAGAAAAAAATTTCGTTTTACAATGACGTTTGATGTTTTGAAAAGAAACAAGGGGGTAGGTAATACGAGTACAAATCAAGTTCCATCAGAAAGATCGCCAGGCCTCCTACAAAAGATTTATTATTCCCATTAAGAGAACTGGTTGTTATTTGTATTGGAAGACCTATTTTCTTCTATTACTAAACAAAAGTACTTAATAGAGAAAAACGTGTAATATTATATTTTATTCTAGTTTCGCTGTTTTTTGTTGGCCCAACAAATTGTTGTTAATAATTATTCCAAAATCGTGAGATGCGGTCTGGCGTGAAGTAGGTTTCAGAAAAACATTTTCTTTATCGTGCCAACGTTTCGATCTTTATTGAGATCATCTTCAGGGCCTGGGATTTACAAACATTGTTTACATTTAACAAATANGAAACCTACATTACACCAGACCACATCTCACGATTTTGCAATAATTATCGACTAACGGTCACTAATCACCACACATTGTTGTTAATGGTAATAGCAGAATTATCCATTACGTATATGAAATGTATGTCGCGCTGGAAGATTACGAAAGACAAATTTAACAATGGTCCAGATTTAGTGCCGTCGAGCTTTCGCAAGTTTTTCGCTCTGGCGAGGATAATCATGGATTTATTATCACATCTCCGGCAAGAGGAAACGGCCTATTCGTCTTTTTTGAGTTTTTCGGTGCCCAATTCACGATTAATTTCCCATCGCGAATTTGTTCGACGTGTTTGATAATTGCAGGGTGATTTGTTACTCACGCATTGGAAAGCCTTGGCGACGTCGTGCTTTCTTCCTCGGAGAAAAGCGGACAGGAACAAATCGTCCTTTCGGGCATTCAGGTTTTCTTCTCCTAAACAAAAACAAATTGTTTATTGACTTGGCAATACATTTAGGCGGAAATCACCATTATAAATAATAAGTTCAAAATATTTTAGCAATGTTCTTATATTTAAATGAAAGTAAATCTGCCATTTCAAAATTTTTCTGATCTTTGGTATTTGTAATCTAAACTGCGACTTTTCATAGCGACCAAAAAGTTAAAAATAATATTAATTGCTGTCTTTTTCCTACCTGGACCCATAAATTTTAAGGCTGTTATTTAAGGTAAAGACGAACAAGCGTCCATAGGTGGTTCGTTTGGTTTAAAAAAGTTATTCTTTAGCACACATTGATGACAAACTTAATAATTTTATGTAAATAATAGATCTCTTTGAAATATTTTCTAGACCGAATTAAACGATGTTTACTATTCAATGCACCAATTTCGTGGTCCGCTTGACCAATTGATATATTACAATCAATTAAGGTTTTTAGTTTAGATAAAAAAGTCAATGGCACGAGCGGGATTCGAACCCACGATCTTCGGCTAAATACGCCGCTGCTCTACCACTTGAGCTATCGTGACCTCGATCCACTCGGACGCTAACTTCCCATCTCAACCACACCATTTGAATTTTCCCTCCTTTTTGCCATTTTTCAGGGAAAATTCAAATGGTGGGGTTGCTATGGGAAGTTAGTGTCCGAGTGGATCGAGGTCACGATAGCTCAAGTGGTAGAGCAGCGGCGTATCTAGCCGAAGATCGTGGGTTCGAATCCCGCTCGTGCCATTGACTTTTATCTCAACTAAAAACCTTAATTAATTGTGATGCTTACTATGTTTAGTAACTTTGGTATTTATAATTTAATAATATTATAATTTTTTAAAAGAATTAAGCGGCGACAAGAACAAATACTTTCCGTCTAACTATAATTTTCAAATTATTTTTAAACGAGTGAAATAAAAAATATGGCTCAAACATAGCCAAAATAATGAATAAATCAACATTTCAAAGAGAGCCACTTATTTAGTGAATACACGGAAAATTCGCACATTTATAATTTCTTTATTCATACATAGTAAATTAAAAAATATTGTTGAAATAATCTAAAAAAAGGGATTTTTTCATTGTTTCAGTTTAAGCTTAATACGTTAATTTTTTTAACCACAAAATATGGTAAGTTTTGCATGACTATTTAAACGGAATTTAATAATTAATTTTGAAACCCGTTTGGTTAATTAAAGTTATAGTCAAACAACAAAGAAAAAACTCTTTTATTTTTATGATTCAATTCATAACATTGAAAAATTAATAATGAATTTATTAACGCGGATTACGCACACTGACTTCTCAAATAATCCTCAGGGGTATAGTCCTGCGGTCGTGAAGAGGAATAAATAACTACAAATTCGGTTTACCTGCTGTAAATAACATACATGTTGCGGTATTTTATGCATAACACAAGGAACTGTATAGTCGAGATATAAACAGAGGACCTTTTTAGATGGTCCGGCTGAGTTTCTTTTGAACCAATGAGGCTTTCAAGAAAACAAAATTAAGTGTTTAATTTTTTATTCTAGTTTCAAAGTTTTATTTTTTTTGGAAAAAAAATAATACACGGTACCTCATGCCCAGTTCAAGTTCAAAATTTCAACTACGACCCTATACACCCGACACAGCATTTTAAAGGAATTTTTACACTAAAAATAATGGTGCAATCGGATTTTAAATTGACCAAAAAATGACAAAGTTATGTCAAAAAGAGATAGAATTAAAAAATGATATAAAAAGAATATTTTTCTGTATTTTCGCGAAAATCCTAATTCCTCTTTCCGAAAGTTTGGAAGGGTTTTGAGGTAAAAATAAAATGAGAGATGTACTCTGGGCTTACAATTTTAAGCAGTGCTCTCAACTTGTCCATATATTTCGGGACTTTGATTATGACAGGTGACTAACGTCACATGCACAAATGTCGATTTGGAAGGCTGAAGAAAACATTGTTCTACACATCCTGTGGACTGATGAATCCAAGTTTACCTTTAATGGCATAATAAACTATTCGAATTTTCGGATGTGGGCAGAGAAAACTCCTATAGTTTAGTACTCTTGTCATCATCAGCTGGTTCACAGTACCTTTGTTTGGTGTGGACTTCTCGGAAATAAATTAATTGGGCCGTATTTCTACCAAAATAATTTAAATCAGTTCCTCAATTTTTTGAGGGAGGTTTTACCAATACTATTACATGATGATTCTTTGCAAAAAAAAAATGACTCTCCCGCTTGATGGATCCCCCACACAATTCTTTGCCGGTGAGACGTTATTTGAATCGTCACTTCCCGGATATGTGCATAGGACCTCACGGCCCGATCTGTTGGCCTCCTTGTTAACCCGATTTACACGGCAGTAATAAGACCGAGAATAACCTATGGATCACTAATCTGGTGGAACAAAGCTCAGCAAAAAGTAGCTACCCAAACATTAGGCAGCATACAAAGACTAGCAAACCTATGTATCACAGGGGCGATGAGAACAACCCCTACAAACGCATTAGAAACTTTGCTAAACCTAACTCCACTGGAATTATTTATACAAGGAGAGGCTAGGAAAAGCTCATTTAAGCTCCAGAAACAATTGAATTGGAAAGGAACTAAACAATTCGGGCATGCACCATAATCACCAAAATCAGACACCCATTATTAGAAATGGGGACTGATTACATGATCCCGTAAACAATCTTCACAACTTCCTACAAAGTTTCAACGGACTATAAAGGAGAGGAAGAACACAGGAGAACATCAGATACTAGACATGTGACACATATGATGAAACAACCCTCACCGAGAATGGCAAAAACACAACTGGAGAGGGCCAAACTCAGAGGAGTGGTAGGACTACTAACCGGTCACTGGTATCTGAGAAAACATCTACACAACATGGGTATATACAACGATGATCCCATTTGCAGATTATGTAATGAGGAGGAGGAAACTGCCACTCATATCATCTTCCAATGCGAAGCAACAGCTCAATGGAGGTTTAACCTAATGTACGGAAAAGACTTAGGGAATCAAATTGCAGCAGCAACAGTCAGTGACCTGATACTTCTAAGAAGAAGGATTGAGTCTATTGACTGAACTAAGCAACTAGGAAGGTACAATAAGCCAGAAGGTTGCAGTGCCTGGGGAATACAAACCCCGCTTCCTAGTATCCTTTTCACCATACCATACCATACCATAACCCAATTTAAATCCACTTGATTATTTTCTGTAGGGCCATTTAAAACCAGTGCCTATTGGTTATAGAGAAATTCAGCCGCCTTATCGAAAAAAGATTTATATTCACGACACAAGGAACCAATATAACATTTATGTGGGTAGTCGGTAATTAAAGGAAATATATAAGCGGACTGAAAAGGAGGCAGTAAAGAATAAATTGAGGACAATTATTAACGCAGTGCGAGTTTGTCCATGTCGAACGGAATAAGGAAAAAATACTAAAACCTTTGAGATTAAGACATGCCTTACAAAAAAATGGATATTGTTAGTGGGTGTAGTGCAGCCTCTGTGATGAATCACGTGTAAACAATATCATGTATCATGCAGTATCGGAGGAACTGGATGACAAGCCGGATAGATTGGAAAAAGCTGTATAATACTTGAAAGATGTTAAAAATTATAATATACATGTAAGAGCAGGCGTTAAGAATTGAGTTTCAAGAGAGTTTAAGACGGGATTGTGGAATTGGAGTGAATGAGTTTGTATAAAAAATTATTTAGTAATGTATTATTAAAGGATATGTATTCATAATCGAGAATTGTAAAATAAATTGGAATCGTGTGAAATTAATTTTAATTATTTAAAAAATCAGGGAGCATAAAACCCAGAAATGGACCGCGGTGGCCATGTGGTTAGGGCGGCTGACTCGTAATTTCCACGATAGCGCTTCGGGGTTCGAATCCCGGCAGATCCCATGGTTTTTTAAAATTAATAGGTATAAAATTGTATTGTAAAATGGTTGACCCCTCGTTTGCGATACCGAACGGGTAGTTGGACATTATGCCCTTCTATGTAATTTTTTCTTATAGTGATGAATTAGATGTAAATTGGATTATTTTCTAAACAAGGATCCTCCGCAGAATTGACTCTTAAGAAATAGCTGGATATTTTCCATATCTCCTATTTATTTATACGAATGTTTCATTTTTAGCTTCTTTTATACAAAGCGCAGTCTTGCACCCACACCCACACCCACACACCCTCACACACACGCACCCACCCACCACCAAAAATTAAAACCAAATGAACGAATTGAAAGAATATGTGGTGTGTTTACCCTCGGGGATAAATAATTAACATGGAATCATACTGTCAATTTGTAACCACGTTAATTAAAATGTGAATGTAAAGTTACCAATCGGTTTGTTTTAATTGCCGTTACTACAATTGGAAAGTAAAATACTTTTGATGGCGTTTAAGGATTACTTTTTCGCTAAGTTTACAGAAAAATGTTGAAAATTAGTTTTTTAATAATAAGTTAGCTGAAGGACCTCTCAGAATTTTTTTTCCATCAAGTATACTGCTAAGGAGTCGTTGGTATTTAAATTATGATAATATTCCATGTCATCTACTTGTAAAATTCTCGTTTGGCTTATTTTGCCATCTATAAGTTAGAAAGGTCGCTTCATGTTTTAATGAATAATTTTATACGTCTGATTTGAGAGAATGGCTGACCGAAACATCAGTTTTTTTACGAAAGGTTAAAAGTTTAGTTTTTCTGACCCATCATATATCCCCTGTTTTAAATTTTGTTTTCAGGGGCGTCGGGGGCCGCAACGGTTTAGGCGTTGACACGGCGGTCATCACTGTAAGGCAGGGCTTACCAAACTTTTTAGCCAGCGGACCCCTATCTCAAAACAAAATCCAGGGTGGACATTTCATTCAAGTATTTAACATTAGATACTTACGTAGTTAATAAATTAGCGAGTCCATTCGTAATACGGAAATGAAAGTAAATATTTGATTGACACATTT